ATATATATATATATTTGTATATATATATATATATATATATATATATATATATATATATACATATATATATGAGATTAGGTAATAAACGACTAACTAAGAAAGACAATTTGTAAGAAGGTAAATAATAGGAGCAAACTAAAAAGGATGAACCGACAAAAACAAACAACAATAAATCAAACAGAAAAAGAAAATTAAAAAAATAAAAAAGAAGAAGAAATCCTGAAATATAAAATTAAAAAAAAAACAAAAATATGATTTACTAATGTTTATAACAGACTAGCAACGAATTCTTTTTTTTTTATTCTTATTAGGGTCTAGATATTGTTATTATTATTATTATTATTGATGTATATATATATATATAAATATATATTATTTTATTTTTATTAATTATTATTAATAATAAAAAATAATAAAAGTAGTTGTAATTGTTTCTATAAAAAGTTGAATATACACCCCGTTGCTGCGCCGCGTGTTCCTCTGTCTCTGGCGTGGCACCAGAGCAGAGTCTAGAAAACGAAAAAAAAAAGCAACACACAATTAAAAAAGCATTTATATGAATTAAATTAATTAAATTTATGTAAATATTTTGTAAATTTTGTTTTTTTTTGTAAAAAACCCCAAAGAAGAGCAGAAGCTTGATGCGAGTCCACCCGGCCATCGACGGCATCCGCCGCCGCTGCCGCCAGAGGGTTTCGTCTTCTGTCTGTTTATATTGCGGCTGTATTTTGTATTAAATGGAATTAAATAAAGAATTTAATTTAAATTAAATAAAAGTTTTAATTTTAAATAAATAAATAATGTTTTTTTCCGCGTCTAGCAAGCCAACAATCATCGCTGGCAACGAGCAGAGCACAGACCCGTCGTTGTTTGTTTCGCTGCATGCATCAGTGTACTGCTGTGCGTGCGATTGAACCGTAAATTGTTTATTTTGTGAGAAATAAATAAAATAAATTTAATTTATATTGAATAGAAATAAAAGAAAAAGCCGCTCGAGACGATATACCTCAGCAGTTTCTTCTTTTTCCTTGACGGGTCGACGGTGGACGCATACCTTCTGCTTTCTCTTTTTCTCTGCATGCAATTCATCTTTTCTTTGAATATATTTTTGAGTCTTCTTCATTGATGCATGCATAAAACCTCTATATTTTCCATTTATTTTTTTTTGTTTCTTTTTTCTCTTTCTGCAACGGGCTCAACAGCCTCCTCTCCCCCCCCCCCTTCTCTCTCTCTCGTTTCGGGTGTATAGGCAGCTCGTTTTTTCACGTTTTTTGTATCGCAGCACGCAGCACTGTAGGATGCTCTCTGCATGCATCGTGCGACGATGATGACGGCCCAGAGTGCAGGGTGTATTCAGGAGATAGGAGAAGCAACAGATTCTGTTTTAAATGAAATGAATTTGCGTTCGTTTCTGCTGCGGTTGCCGCTGCCGGCCAAAGATGCAGCAGCAACTGTCGAGGGTATATGCGAGAAACTCATGAAAAACAGATCAGCATCACACACCAAGTGGAACCCAGTCGATGCAAATACAGAGCAACCAGACCTGCAGCGTACACAGCAGCAAGTCAACAGTATACGCACCATGCTAGACAGCAACGCCGCCGTTGGTTTCGTTCTCGTTATAGTTGAAAACCCCCAGCAAGAACAAAATAAACCAAACCAACAAATTCAATACTGCCCAGTTGCTGGAGCTGTTCTAGAAGTACTCGACTCCTATGAACGCTCTGTGCGAGCCATCTGGTGCGACACCAACACATCCATGCTTGCATGCATGCATGTGTTGGCATGCATACATGCATGCATGCATGTGTTGGCATGCATGCATGCATGTGTTGGCATGCATGCATGCTTGCATGCATGCATGCGTGCATGCTTGCATGCAACACATTCATTCATGCTTGCATGCAAGCGTTGTTTTGAAGTTTCATATATGCATACTTAAGTTGTCTGCATCCGTGCATGTGGATATTCACTCATGCATGCATCCTCTTTTCAAAAGCAGTTATTTCTGCTGCTGCAGCCGGGTTGCTTCTGGCTGTGGCAGTCCCACAGCTCTTCCTACTGCTGCTGCTGCTGCTGCTGCTGTTGCTGCTGGAGTTGGCTGCATAGCCGCAGCGGCAGCGAGGTGTTCGTACAGGTGTAGAGAGGTGCAGCTATGGACTAGCCGCTGCTGCTGCTGCTGCTGGTGCTGCTGCAGCTGCTGCATCTGCTGGGCGTTGTATGTGTTGTGTTTGTGGTGTATGCGTGCTTGCAGGTGTCGTCGTTCGTTGCCTAGCGAGGTTTCTGAGGTGATAACGCGGCTGTTGGTGTTGCGTTTGTTTGCTTATGGGTTTGCTTCTAGCCAGCAGATGGTGCCGCATATGTTGAGTAAGGAGGCGCTGGCGCCGACGAAATCTCCAGTATCGAACCGGCTCATCAGCTGCACAGAAGAAAGCGTTTATCTCTTTCCTCGTGATGCAGTTCTCTTCATGAAAACGCAGCTCTGCATGTCTAAGCACTGGGAAACACCGCTCGATGGCGGCAGCCACATAGACCACCCAAAGGCACCGTAAGCTGCTGAAACAACGCAGATATTCAGCTTTTATTAATTTAAATTCATGAATTTATATTTATAAATATATATATTGTGTTGGGAAGATGTTTTATGGATGAGGAAGAGAAAGAAAGCAACAAAGGCAACGCCGCAGACAGCTATTCTGTGCAGAAATTCAAGAATTGAATTTTTCAGATTCGCGGTGTTTTCCGTGGCAGTGCAGCGACGGGCCGCTTGAGTTGGTGTGATATTCTGATTTATTTTTATTTTTTAGTTTGTATGATGACGTTTCATGTTTGTTTTTCTTTTTATTTTGATGGTTTTTGTGGCTGCAGATGCCGCTGCAGCAGCGTGCGCCACGTCGCCGGCGCGTGGCAGTTCTCGGGAATATCCCTCTCCCGTTTTGTGAATTACTGGAGGAACCACGGGAGAGCCGCGCTGCTCGATGTGCCGGCATCGGCGCTCTCATACTTTGCGCAGCACGACCGGCCCGTGCCGACGAACGGGCTGGAGAACGGCGCGAAGAGACCACGTAGACACTTGTACGACTACATCAAGACTGCAGAAGAACGCAAGAGCCAAACACCCACCACAGCTGGTGATACCGCCGCCAAGGATATGGTGCAGTCTGAACGCACTTCAGACAGTTCACACATAGTTGCGGCCACCAGACGAGGCCTGCGTCGTGCGCGATCCATTCCATCCACCAGTCACCACCTGCCAGCACAGCGACGCCGAACTGGAACTGCGGGAATTGGCGTTGCCGCCAGAAAGAGCTGCCGAGGAACCGGCCGAATCTCAGACGGGCCGAGGGCGGTGTACACGCCCAAAAGTTCTCGGCGTGGAGGAAATATACTGCACTCGAGACAGATCGCCACGATGAAGCAACAAAGTGGCTTGATTGCATGTACAGTAAGTATAGCAGCAGCAACACTCAAGAGGCGCTCAAGACGGGAGTTCTGAAAGAGCCCACCAATTGGAAACCTGGCGAGCAGTGCAGTGCTGCAGTGCTGGGTATTCGTGCGAACATTTGCTGCCTCATCATCCGTAGATGCTGCTGCCTTAGGCGCTACTAGAAATGGGCGGCTACCCACTCATTAGCTTGGCAACAGTTAAGTATCTGTTCCCTCCAGCAAACTGCACGGACGGGAAGAACCCCGTGTTGGGTTCTGGACATGTATGTGTGTGCAACGTAACGAAATGTGGAAATTGCAGTGCCAGTAGTGCACTGCATTTGAGTGGCACACACAGTGCACAGTCCAAAGGCCCGCCAAATGGCTGCAGGACTTCGCCAGAATTGGCCAGTTCGCAAGTGCTTCTCAGCTTTTTCGTATCGCAATTCAGTGCGGTGGTGCAAGCTGGCTACAATGAGCACCGAACTGGCGTGCACGGTAACGAGATGTGGACGGCAGGGCTTTTGACTGCTAGACATTTTAGCGTTTTTATTGACCGCTTGGGGGGTGGACACCTCTTCCCGCTAACAGCGAGACCTAGGGGCTAAGAATTGAAATTTTGAGGGCTGGTTGGACGGTATTCCAGTTAGTTCCAAATACTGGGCTGAGCGACAGCTGGGAAGCTTGAACTGCGCATGTGTTGGTTTGCAAGACGGGGAACTGGTGACGAGCTGCAATGGCGCCAGGCAACGGTAGGGACACAAGCATTAAGCAGTCGTATTCTTGGTAGCTTTTTACCTTTTTTGACAGCTTATGTTAAGGGGGTCAAGTTTAATCGATGGAACGTACGTTCTAGGCCACTGGCGGCAACCGTGACTTGTACTCGAACTCAGTGCGCGGCAGTTACGCGGATCGCAACATTTCGAAATGATGTAGTAACGAATGTATATTTAAGGCCTTAACGCAGTGCTAAGGGGATGTGTTTCTCTAACATCTACGATCTCGACCAATTAAGACAAAGTGAACCGTAGTTCCATGGCGGACCGATTCGTAGTCTCCGGAAAATGCGTTCAGCATTTCCGACGCGTTTTGACGTTGCTTGATGAATGAAATCCTAGAACAAATGAAAATTGGGGTATTCGGAGGTGCAGCTACACCCGGTGGTGCTTGAGATTTCCGAATTGAGCTGTACATGACCGCGTTGTAGGCAGTCGCCTGCTGTCTGTACACCGCAGACCCCAGACGGACTGTTGAGTGCTCTTCACTTTTCCTTTTTTGAACGGTTGCTTTTGCTAGCTGCTTGCCTGAATATGAAACTGGCGAAATCAATTTCATATACCGTCAAGTTACGTTAAGTTACACACGATCGCGATGACGAGTGGCGAGCTGGATCCTCAGTTCGTGCGGAGTTTCCGCTCCACATGGGAAGACACCCCCTCGTCCCACGCAGTTCCTCACTCTACACTGACTGCTCTTGGTCTGTCGCAAGGCGACTATCTCGATGTGAAGGCTTGGATATTTCTGGTTGCACGGAAGCTGCAGTTTGAGAATGGAGAGCGCGCTGCCTTCAAGGTAAACTTTCTTACGCTTCGTGTCCTGCAACATTTTCTGTTAATACTTTCATCGTTCAGGCATGCGAGGCGCTTGCAGCTCTCTTCTCTGACCAAAGATGTTTTTCTTTGGTCCACGATGCACTCGTCAGCGTTCCAAAGGAGGATATTCCACAGATCTTAGCAAGTTGCTGTCTGAAGCTCACAGCTCAGGTAGGCATCTAAAACCAACGCCATATTCTACTCTGGTCACTGACGCTTAGGCGCCATTTTCCCCTTCAGTTTGAATCACAGAATAACGAAACAAATCACGACGACTTCCTGGTTAGTTCATATAAACACCACACATCTCTTCTCCTCGCCCGGATATAACATATTTGTGGTGAATGCAGAAAATGATGAACCTCGAACACGCATGTGCGCCATCACTCCTGGCCTCTCTGGAAACTGCCGTATTTGCTTCTCTAAGCTCTACTGGAGGCTTTTCGTTCAGTGTAAGCTATACTTTTGCTAGATGCAAGACTCTTCTACCCCATGTATTCAGCCTTCACAGCAAGCAACTGCACTGGACATCTTGGACTTTCTTCAAATAGCAGGACTCGAATACTTGACGAACCAGTTGTTCAATATTCAAGAAGATCTTTTGCTTGATCGGGCAACCTGCTGCCGCTTGCTTGCTTTCCTGCACTGCAACAGCTTAATTGATTCGCGTAAGGAATTTATACAGACAAGTTTCGCCGAACTCCTCAATATTTCATCTTCAAAACAGGACTACTCGCTCTCTCCGTGTTTATTTTTTCCTACAGCCGTCAACCGGTCATGTTGAGGGCAGCCTTGCGAGATATTCTAATTGCGTTGCTCGGGCCTGACATAATTAGTCTTGTAAGTAGTATTTTTTGTTGCATCTCGTCTTTGCCTTCACTTTCATTACGTATTGGCTTGCAGGCTGAACCTATTCTCGCTGCTCTTAAGCCTCGGTTGCTGGATGACATCAATGATCCAAGACTGGCGCTGCGTGCCTATCTAGTGGTAAGGCAGCGTATTCAACTCAGCCCAGATCATACCCAACTTCAATACTGCAATTCAGGGCATCCATGGGCGCACCAATGAATCATCGATGAGCAAGATTAAGGCGCACTTGGATTTTGCTTTCTAGGTCTTCACGCGTTTCTGCCACAATGTTATTTTCAACAGCCCCTGCAGTCAAGATGGACTGAGTGGGTATTGATCAAAGTGAAGAATTTACCTCAACCATTGATAGTCTCTGCACCGCCCATCAGTGTTTCCTCGTGGATGTGTCGGCACAAAAGAGAAATGATGTTCTCGGAAAAATAAATTTCGGCTGCAAAAGTGCAGCCCAAAAACTTGTTGCCTCACACGTTATCTTGGGCCTACAGAAACAATATTTAGCATGACATTCGTATTCAACAACTCTAGCCTAAGCTCTGGCTTGCCCTTATGCACATAAGACGTTTGTAATCACACAGGTAAATGCGCCGATTGCCTTAGCAACCGATCTCAGCTTAATCTCACACCCTGTTCGGCATAGATTTACGTATGGAACAGTCAAATATCCGATTTGTTTGGTGGCCATGCCACCCCATATCTGCTTGGAGTGGCTCGAACCAATCATAGTAACTTGTTTGAACCAACTGCCGCTGCTATGGTTTCGCAGTTCGGGTATTGTTGGAATAGCAATGGGGCAATTAGGGAGGTATTAACGAAATGAGATGCGCAGTTACCAACACCAGATATTGTAAACCTGCCAAATTTGAGACTTAGAATTAAAACAGCACGCAGTGCTAGTATTCCCTAGGACGGGAAAGTTCAGATCCACGAAGGTGGCTGGGTTTAGTTACGATCAACTAATGCGGTACTGCCTAAGTCTTAACGCTGGCGATGAAGCGTTTTCGATCTGTGCTCGATAAGAGTCAACCGTAAGCAAAGAGACCAGGAGCATTCGGATTATATAATGGTTCCCAGACTGTTTATACACTGCCAAAGACGTGGGAGCTGGTGACTTTGCGCCTTCGCACTGGCGAAGGGGGTAGGCAGGCATATCCCAGTCCTCAAAAGGCCGGCGAATTGAGTTGACAGGCATGGATTTGAAGTGTTTTCAAAGCTTGAATCCGCTGGCTTCTCAAGGAAGGAGTTTTCATGCTGTTTGTCTCGACGAAGACTTCTGCAGCCTGAAAGGGTGTTTGGGGGGCCCCCAGTACTGTGGCGGCCAGGACATTTAACCACAAATTCTGCATTTCCGACGATAATTTGGGCACTGCGTTTAGTTTGAACCCACTTTTGATTCTTTTTCTGCATAAATTGGTAATATTGAACTAGTGTGGCGATCGCGTGTGACAACCTGTGTTGACTCGAAGAGACGGCTCCGGGCTCCGGTGGTTGCTGCTTCGATACTGGCGCGAGTTTTCGTTCTCCCCCTGGAATCCCGGTCAATCACATATCTGCGAAGTAATATAAGATGTAATTTGCAACTTCTAGGTGTCATGGTTTTCAGAACTTCTCTAGAGACTGCGTGCCCTCCTGTCCCCGAATCCTACGCGCCACCGGGAAACTGCGCCGCTAGGAAGTGTTGGTGCCTCCTGTACCTCTAGTACTTCGATAACAGCGGTGCAATGCCTTCTTAAAACCATTGCCCCGCCCCATACCACTGTCTCCAGGGGCGTCTGCCCTCTTCTATTTCGCATCCGTCCCCTTTCCCCGACATGGCTCAATCCAGCGGAGGGGTCGCGACATGGGGATTTATCCAGTAAATTCATTAGATGCCTCCAAAAAAGATAAAGCGAACACGCCCTAGAGCTAAGGCGAAAGCACATGCAGAAGGTATGAATTTGGAAGTCGTACTTGACTTGAGAACGCCAGTGTAGCAACTCGCAAGTCATCCTAGTTCTGTGGAGGTGCAACAGTTGAGATAACGGGGGGCTCTGCCGCTTCAGGAGAACTACTAGTAGATGAAGTGCTTCTACTCCCTCTCGTAGAGATGAGCCTCCCTCGGGTGCCTTCTTGCAATGGCTTTGCCACGGGATCAAACTCGCAAGCCGTCGCTCACCCACTGCTAGCAGGGTTTCCCTGGCCGACGAGACCCGGGTACACGCCCGTTGCATGTTTGTGCTGCTCAGGCGGAATTTAACAATGACGGCAGTTCGAAATGAACAGAACTCTTCGCCGTCACCTTGTCGTATAATCGTTCACTCCGAAGAAACCTTTCAAAACGAAACAGACGCACAGGGTGACCCCCTGACGGTCCTCGAGGAAAAGGAACATGGCGATCCAGAACAGGTAGCATTGGCAGGCGAAGGCAATGTGTTCTACCAAGAGAGCTGCGCGGCAGGGGGGCGCACCACCGTGAGCAACCCCTGCAGCAGGGGCAGTAGGGCAGCAACCCCTATGCCGAGAAAGCCAATCGACGCAATGACGAATCCTGCCGTCCCTCAAGGGTGAGGATACGATGCTGCTTATCCCCAGGTTTTGCTTCATAAGGCGCCACAGCATCGCGGGTGTTTCTTTTTTGTGTGGCCCGATGACGGGGAAACCCTGACAGGCGTTCGTGTCGAGGAGAAACCTGCAAATCCAACCAGTGTGGGAACTTGATTCTGCAGATATTTGAAGTACTGGGCTCTACGTGTTGGCCAAGAAGCAGCGCATATCCCTGAGAGCGAGGAGTTTGAATTGGCATATGCAAAGAAAGCTCAGAGCCTTTTTCCATTCCGTTCGACGACAACCGAGTGGACAGTCAACACTGCAGGAGGTACGCTCAGATTGAATAGCGTCTTACTACTGCTGCTACTGCGTAGAGCTATATGATCAAGTATCGCTTCAGCAGCGGCCCCCAGGAACACAATATACGCTTTGCTTTCAGGGTTTCTGGTGCTGCTCATGCCATGGGGGCCGGTGATGATGGTTTTCGGTTTATGTTTCGGAGGTCTCCTTGGCTTTGGATTGGCAATGGCTAATGACATGTGCCGTCTGAGGAAGAAAACATCTGCGGCAACGCAGCAAAAGGTAAGCAGCTGAGCCCCTGAGTTTGCCTGATAGCTGCAGCTAGCTGCAGCTAGCTGCAGCTAGCTGCAGCTAGCTGCAGCTGCCCCTCCATACCAATCGCAAACAGGGCTCCTCCGAAAGTCCTAAGCAGCTGAATTCCACTTTTCTTTTTGGGGGTCTGCAGAAGAAGATCGACCACTTGATGCGCTGGGCAGGATACCACTTCGCGAGCAGCAACGCACAGCTGCAGCTCATCTTTAAAGTCATCATGGAATACGAGGTAATCTAAAGATAAAGCAGCAGCTGTTTACTCGCACTTCCGCTAAAAGGCAGAAACTGCATATTCAACAGCAGCAGCAACAAATATGCACAGAGAATTTCCAGCTGTTTCCTCCGTATTCACTGAGTTGGCCTGGATAGCTGTGAGCAGAGTAATGTTGCTCCTTATGCGCATGCTGAGTTCGTTTCATATATAGCTGGTTACTTCAAGGCTGCAGTCTTCTCAATTAAGTTTGCAAGAACTCGCATTTGGGTGTGCGGCGTGTTTGAAGGTCCTGGCTCGTTTGGGGGATATATCTAAGACCGCTCGTGCGCAGCTGCGACTTTTATATTCGTTCTTGTGAGTTCAAGCAACGCCCACTCAGCCTCGCCAACCCTTTGGCTGCTGGGCTGAGGATCCCGGTGGGGTTAGCGGACCGCACCGAATAGAGGCAATGCAGGCGGTGCCTGACAGAAACCATAAGTAAACAACTCATGAGTAGGGTGGGGTTGTTGTTATTTCTCTGAAGAGAAGATGCATGGGGGTTCGCGTTATGTGTTTCAGGAGCCGCGATGATGTGGGACATTGTCTTTGGCTTTACCTCGACTACTTTGAGGCGCACTGCGACCACATGACGAGAAGCGAAATCTTTATGTGTGCTCTCGTCTGCTACGTCTGCACCCAGTGCGCTGGAACGTTAAGGTAAACTGAGCTGCGACTTGAAAAAAAAACGAAGCATTTTATCCTCTATCTCCTTCTAAACCTTGCAAAATGTACACTTTAAGCCATAGACTTCAACTGCTAGCTGAACATACATACATTTAGGCCCTGACCTTATTGGGCTCTGATTGGAGCTGATTGCATTGAAAAGATGAATTTGGAGTTATTGAAAGAAAATGTTTGAAATCAGTTGTGGCGAGTTGCGGTTATTTTGTTTCTGCGGCGGACAGGAAGAGGAACCTTCATCCGGTGGTTTCGCGGATGATCCGCATGATGAACGACGCGGAAATTCAAAAAATATTTCAAAAGTCAAAGAGCCCGAACCCTCGCCAGGCGAAACAGGTGCGTAAGAAGTGCGACTCTGCTGGAGTTTCAGTATGTGTGTGTATGTGTGTATGCATCTCATTCATAGAGCGAGTATGACTGTTTCACGCTTGATCGACTTCTGTGTAGATATATTTTGATATATTTGAAGCAAAATGAGCTGAAATGTTTGCCTACAGGACGAAGAAACGGAGCGTTGCCTCTTCTATGCCGACAACAGCCAAGGCGTGCAGACGTTTGTTATGAAGGGAGGAGACCTCCTGCAGTGTCCGTGACTATAGTAGTATATTTTAGAGTTACTATAGCATTAAAATTCAGTAAATATTGCATAATATACCACAAATGCGAGTCGGTGCAACGTCAACTCCCCCTGTGTACAACTTGGAAACGACGTAGAAAATATGCAGAAAAAGTGAATTCGAGATAAATACAACGTTCTATGAAACTTCTAGAACTCATAGGAAATTAATATATTTATATGTACACTGCTTTCTTGTGTTTGTGTTCACGCGTGTTGCAGCTCTGCATAATAATGACGGCACAGCGGGGAGGCACGCCGACTCGTCAGAAGGCGGATCCTTCACTGATGCATTTTCCGGCAGCAATTTTGAATCTGATGTTTCAAATGGAGGCGAAGAAAAACAGGAACTTGTGCAGGAAACACTGGCGGTGAGAAAGCTGAATAGCCAGCCATACAACACTCGTCATCGCCCGCCATCTTTGTATACTCTGTATACTTGTTTAGGCTTTATAAGCCGATGATCTGGCTTATAGTTTAGGATCTAGGGTTTAGAAGGCTACGAAAGAGTTTGAACAGAGCAGCTCAGCGTATTTTTTTCTGGGTTTAGGGTTTAGGGTTGTGCTGATAGCTTCCTGCTGTTTCCGCATTCGCACCTTTACGACTAAGAAAGCAGAGTGTTGGTTGCCGTGTGAGTGATAATTCTGTTGAATTGTGCATCTGCAATATACTCTCTAGTGTGCGTTTGTGAGTTTCGTTGTTAATGCTGCGTTTCCATATGTGCATATTTTTTAAATTATCATTCCCGTTGCATGAAGTGTATATTTGTGTGACAATTGTTTTGTTTGTGTATGAAGCCTATATATATGTGTTTGTGGCATTTGCATCTGTATTATTTAAATATTAATAATTTCTGTTTCAAACAAACCATGAGTGTACGCGTTTGGTGTTCAGGGCGAGTTGCGCCCAGTAGAGAATTTCAATGTGGCGTTGACTTACGGGGTGTCACTGGAGCGTGCGTTGGGGTGTACACTGGAGGGAACGAACTCTTCTGCTACGGCTTCTCTTTCTAAGCAGCTTCCTGCTCCCTCGCCTGCTCCAACTGCAGTGAAAACACACCGCCGCAAAACCTCCTCCGTCGTCAGCAACACGAGAAGCACATCTAGGGTCTCCCGCCAGCCCACACAAACGCAGATACAGGCGCCCACGCAAACACAAACGCACGGAGAAACAACACACGCAGAAGAAAAGCATAAAGGTTAGTGCTGACATCGCCAGGACACAGAAACAACTGAGAAGGATGACACTGCAACAGATGCTTACCCTAGGCGAATGTAGCAAATACAGTGCGCACAACACTGGGCTATATCTGTTGGAGTTAGTATAATATATATATATATATATATATATATATATATATATATATATATATATATATATATATATATATA